TATACTAAAAACAAAGGCTTAATTGCTCGAGATGGTCAAATCAAGACACAAGATTGTGGGGATAACAAACATCTACACTGACAGACTCGTGAACGTCTATTTCCCAGTCTTCACCATTCTTAGAACAGACGACAAGGGATGGAAGTTCACAGAAGCTGACTTCAGGCATTAATCTTTTGAAAACTTTGAAACGATGCACCTAGACATTCGCCAGTGGACTATCAAACTGGAAGACGTGCAGATAGCTCCAGAAGCTATCAAGCGTTTCATGTTCCGTCAGATAATGCTTGGGTACGTATCGAACTTGCAGTTAGGCATTGAAAGCAATCAACCAAAGATAAACATGTTGAAGCCGAAGCAGAGTCTGGAAGACATAGTCCCTTACCTTGTTCGTGTTAGGCAGCTCGAGTTTGTCACTGTTTACTCCAACAACATCTAAGAAAAGAAGTTCATGCATTTCAACGAGCTAACGGCCTACTCTTACGGAACCTAAAGATAATCAAATTGAAGTTGTCAAACAAGATGGAAATAAAATGACTTGACAAGCTCGACCCACATGACAAGAACATGATGTTTCATGCTTTGGACCTGATTGACAAGAAGCTGGAGTACCAAAGGATAATGCGCATATTTGAAGTATATTTTGGCCACTGCCGGAGAAAAAGAAGATTTGTCTGAAGCAGATTTATTACAAAAGGGGGAGAATGTTAGGTTTATATTTTTGTTTGTAATAAAGTAGAGGGACTAAATGTGTAAATACCTTCAAGGTATATATATATATATATATATATATATATATAGTTTCCTAGCTCTAGAGTAGGTCAGTTCATTATTGTATTATCAGCTTATTGAGAAGCACCTACCAAAAGAAAACATTGTATTTTGTATTCCATGATTTGAATCAGTAGACAAGCCGACTGATTTTTTAGTTCCATTGTGTTAATCTTATTTCATTGTTTCTTGTAATCATCTAGGTAAACAACAGTAACCTTCATAATGTTTTTGCTGTGAAAGTTCAAAGGCTACCCTCACAACATTTTACAGTGAAGTTTTAAGTGTAAAAAAGTGGTCTCACGGGTTCACGAAAACAGGCTGGTCTCACGTGAACTAAACCCATATATATATATATATATATATATATATATATATATATCAATAGTTTAGGAGTTTGGCAGTTTTAACCCATCAAGAATTACTGATTGTTATTTGAATACGATACAATTCGGGTAAGCATAGAGTATAAACACGTTATGCACAATTCTACCAAAAATTCACTTAACTTAATTTGTACGAGTTAACGGAACACAAATATCATAACAAGTTTTGAATTTCAACTTCTGAGTTTTCGATTAATGTTATTGAAAATTTGAGAACTTGTACACATTTATATTGAATCACATAACACGTTGGGCAATAACTATTACAAACATCGATCTAATACATCGAGCGACTATCGAACTTTTATTAAGCATATCCTCTTTGTACAACTGCAAAGAAAAAATTATAAAAAGAAGAACTAAACAACTATCAATCAAATAGACATCGAGCTCATACATATTAATAGAAATTTAGATGTCATTTGTATTTGGCGTATAACCTCTTATTTACCACTTGTATATACCAGATAAGAGGTTACAATTATAAGACTGTTTTTTCCCTTCCATGAGAGCTTAAAACCTCTTACTTTTCGCTTATTAGACAAAATATAACTTGCATATTGTTTTTTCCATATTGTCTTCCATTTTCATCATTCTTATCTTATTGTCTTCCATTTCCTATCATTTTTTTATTCATTTTCTATGAACAACTAATTACTTATATATATGTATATGTATTATTTGTATACCCGCACAATGCAGCGGGATGTGGAATTTTGAAAAGATATAAACGGGCATATCGATTACGGATAAAAAATTGTATTTGAAATTGGCAGGCCTACACTATTGATTGTTTCATATTCAATTAATTTGAAAAGAACTGAAACAACCCAATAATCTATTTGATGTTGAAATTTAACAACCGATTGATTATAATTTGGTTATGCATGAGATGTCGAATTATAGAACAATCTATTGATCTCAATAGAAAGCAGAACATGACTTATCTCAAGAGTAATCAAGATTGCACAAGTCTAATAACTTACGTTTATTATATAACACAACATACTAATAACTTTTATTTCTCATATTTAGATTTTTTTTGAAAAATGGGACATCTTCCCGCGCAATGCGGCATGATGTAAAGGTTCTATCATGATATATATTCAATTTTTAAATATCATTTTTTTTGCAAAATATCTTTGAAATAGTTGGTTGTTCACATCTGTATCAAAATCCAAAAATGAAAAATTAATGCAATTTCTCATTCAGAAAATCTAAAATTTATGTTTAGACAAAATAGAAATTAGAATCATGTTTTTATCATACACAATCATCATTCAAAACTTCTTGATACACCACATTTGATGTGTAGACTCTTTCCTGGTTGAACTTTTTGGTAGGTTTCACTAATACCTTCGTATTACCACGTGATATCCCTCTGGACAATGACACGCAAAGTTGGCCGTGCGAGAATACCGATTTCGGTAGATAAACACCTACCACTAGAATTGTCTGTCATTGAGTTTTATTGATTGTCATGGCAAAACAAAGTCGAACGGGAAATTGTTTTCTCTTTAATTTAAAGGAAAATATATCATCTTCAGACGAACATAGAGGAATTCTTGGTAAAAATACCCTCTTACCAGCATGCTGACCAACAGCTGTTTCTGCATTGATAGCATTCTGCTGAAAAACTCTACATATCAACCTCGTGCCGTTACACAATCTATGTGAGGGGTCGATATTCCGCAATAGTATTATCGGGAATCCAATTTTAAGCAGAAAGTAATGAGGGGGCAAAATGCTAACCGTGAGTGAGTTTAAGAATTCTATCGGATATAAGTTATTCTTGTCATTTTCTGCTTCATCAAAACTATAGTAAATTTTTTTCTCTCTGCAGAATCTTTCAATCAACTGATCATTAATCTCTTCGACATGCTCATTTTTAGTTGTTAGTATCGCCCTCGAAATGATATAATCTGAAACAGTCTCGCAGGTTTGAAGAGAAGGAAAGATTGCATCAATCAAAACATCATTCGATTCATTTTTATTTATGTAAGGAATGGCCATGTCATCATGTATGCGAATAAGGTTTCTATCTACTGATTCTTCATCTCCATCGCCGACACGTAACAAAAAATCTGAAAACCATGGATCAGTAAGTGCTCTCATATTGATCGTTAACCGCAACTATTTAATCAAAAACTAAATAAGTTATATCTGTATGCTTGAGTCTACGATCTGTGCTCGAGTGTCATGTCTCATTACTGGTAACACCTGTCTAAAATCACCTCCCATAATCATTATTTTCCCACCAAATGGGAGTCTCACCCCCAGTGATGTCTTGCATTGTTCTATCGAGTGCCTCTACTGTCTGCCTCTTTGCCATTGATGCTTCATCCCATATGATTATTTTTGCAACTAAAAGTAGTTGAGCAGTTCTGCTTTGTTTTTTTATATTGCACACCGAAATATTACTAAGAGTAAGGGAATCTTGAATCGAGAGTGAGTTGTTCTCCCTCCTGGCATGTTATTAGCGGCAACACCGAATGAAACAGTTGCAAGAGCAATAAGTCCACGAGAACGAACATTAGCTAGCAAAGCTCTATACAAAAATGTTTTTCCAGTTCCACCTGTTCCATCTACAAAAAACACACCTGGACAATCATTATCCACATGTCTCATGATCTCATCAAATGGATGTTTCTAGTCGGAATTTAGAGAGTTTCGGGTATGTAATTCTTCATCTTGCACAATTATGGAGTACTCTTCTTGCACCTCACGTAATCCTCGTGATTCTAAATTGACAGCTGCATTTAAACTTGGAATATCAAAATCATCGAGGTTTTTACCCATAGATTGTAAAAAGACTGCGATGTCTGTAAGAACCATATTTCAGAATCCCTTAATATTTTCGTAGTCTCGTCTATAATCTTCAAAGAGTGAATCATAATGTTCATCCCATAACTTGTGAACATCTCCCGACTCACAATAAATCAAGATCGTCGCGACTAATCGTCGAAGAGCATTGGGAAACTGAAATAAGGAGGCATCGACAAGAAAATGCGATAAATTATCGGCGGTCTCTATTAAACCTCTCTTAAGAGTTGCTTTTCGAAATGTCAGATGTATTATGCCATTAACCGTGTAGATATCTTCAAAGCACGTGGGCCCATTAATATGAGACAGAAGTAGGTGTAGATAATATCGTTCTCCTTCGGCAGGATTAGCATGAACCAGTCGTCCTCTCATTGATCCTTGTTTTCGAGGATTCCATTTACGTGAACTGGCATTCCATGTGTAATGTTTCGGAAAATCTTTGTATAAATATTGTCTCACAATCATATATGTTCTATTCCTCTCAAAAAAATGCGATTGAGCTTTCATCCCTCTCTCTATCAACGATATCTGTCATTATATCATTCTCTTTAAACCTACTAGCTGCTTAGTCGGAAGGTGGACCTGCAAAGCTATCACACAAGGGTGGATTTGAGAAAGTGAAAAGCTAAAATTCCTTCAAATTGCCTCAGGTGGCGAAACATATCGTGCATCTTGAAATCTCTTTATCTCGTTGATAATGACATCTTCTCTATCAGGATCGACATGAATAACTCGTTTGTCATGACCCTTGTAAACATACTTGAACACATATTTCACAAATATTATACTTGAGAAAACCTCAACATTGATGTTACAGTTAAACATCATTAGCAACTTTGGATTATATGGGACCACTCATCTATTATCAAGGATATTTCCCCGGACGTTCACCTTTATTCCATAATTTCTCCTCTGATACATTGGATATGAGTTATCTGGCTCCATCATCTTGTCGTTGAATTGTTGAGGATATCTAAAATGACATTTTCTAGGCTCACCTTCCATACAAGGGCTAGACGGTCATAAATGGCCGCAAGGACCATGCATCATGTGCTTTATCACCAGCTCGTGCATTTCAAGATACTTTGTCGGGTCCGGGATTTCAGCACAAACTATCTTGTCGTAATGGTCCGGGTCTGTAATCTTGTGTTCCAATTTCATTATCATGAGGATATGTGCATGTGGCAAACCACGTTTTTGAAACTTGATGACATAAACATATGCCCCAACCTCGCCGAGGATGTGCTTCTTGAAGAGTTCATTTTTAGGATCCTCTAATTTGGCAAGAAAAAGTCTTGCAACAAGGTCCGACCTATCTTGCGTGGTTTGACCAGGCAATAACTCTTTAAGGATTTCAGGCCACTTAGGATTACACGTCTTGGTAAGGAATATATCGGGCTTCCCGTCATCTTGAATTAAAGTCATAGAATCCATAAATCTTCTTCGCATATCACGTGGGCCTCCAATAAAACTTGCAGAAAGCACAACCTGTTCTACTTGGTTGAACCTCACCGGCATTGACGCAATCCACAACACCTTGGTATAAGTCTGATCTTATCTTCGTTTGATTCCTTTCAATAAAAGATAAATGTGTAGTCTCTATCTTGATGTACATATCTACCACGAATTGTTGAAATACTCTTCCGCGTAATAGAATGACGTTTACTCGACCCAATCTAGAACTTGTAACAATAATAATCTCGCATTGTTACAATTTTCCTACCCCTTCCTGAGCTAACCTCTGCATAGTATCAATTTTGAATAGTATAGATTAATAAATGAGTGAATAAGGTAATAAATATATGTGACAATGTTCATACCTTCATGATCTTCGTCGAAGTTTTCGTTGTCATTAACAATTTCATCGATGCACACTCCATGTCTAGGTATTCTAGCATGCCATCCAGACTCACCATTGGGAAAAAACAAAGGATAAGACAAAGATCATAGCAATCATAGTGATGTTCAATTTTTCCACTATAGTCAGACCTCTCATATACAACAATACTTCTCTTGTATGCAATGATGTTGTCATTGCCTTCCACCCAAATACCAGCAACCTGTAGAATGGTAGAATTTGCTTCAGTACTATGCATATGATACATTTTATTGTAAATAAGATAAAATAAATACTTGTATTTCAACCTCAGATGTAGTCGGTCGGTTGAACACCCTCTTTTCAAGTTCCACAGAAGCATTCAAAGTGACTCTATAATTGTCGAGTGGTCCTAGCTCGGTAAGGCTTCGAAATGTTCTCATGTATGGGTTTATAGAAAGAACACGAGTCAACATTTCAATGACGTTTCTATCAAGATTTGGCCATTGTAATCTATGCGAAAGCTGAGATTCGGCATCATAAAAATGAAGTTGTAAGTATCGAGGTTGTCCATCCCTAGGAACTAACTAATCGATTCTATGATATATTCCTCCTTGAGCATGAAATGTATATACTCCAGATGTCATATTGCTCAATGTACTATCCAAAGTTACCCCCATTGATGTGAAGGAAAAGTTTGTGTTGTATGCAGAATATTGTGCCTAAACATTTTGCCTAATTCTGATTGTGTTGTAAATAAATTGTATAGTTCTTATGGAATGGGTGAGTATGCCAACTTTGTCTTCCCACTCATGCAACAAAAGGAACATAATTCAAATTTGAACCGCTTTGTTCCACAATGTTCACATGCATTTTGTTCCTTCAACACACGATGTTGTTTAAGGACACCATCGTAAACAAAATTGTACGGATCCTCCTGTTGGATCTCAGCATTTCTGTTATATCTCAGCATTTCTGTTATTTTCCTTGTTTCGTTGATAATAGTCTCGGTTAGTAATTCTTCTTCTTTTAACAGATGTTAGTGCATTGACAGGAGTTGTTTCACCGAGCGTTATATAAGAAATTTGAATATGAAAATGAAGATTATTAATAAATTAATTAAATTCAAAAACATAGAGTTCAAAATAAATACTAACTTGTCGATTCTTGATTCACGGCTTCGTCAAAAAGAGGTAGCAGTATTCCACGGTTAAATAAAGAAAACTTCATGTCAATGAGACTCTAGTTTATGTCAATTGCAAAGTTTCTAAAATAATAATAAATGTATGGTTTTTACCGTTGACATTTTCCTGTATCAACACCGAACATGTCTGGATTGTTCCTTCACTACTCATAACGCTTGTTTCTTTTCTATTCACAACATTTTTCTTTTTTTTGTTGATAATAGTTTCGATTAATAATTTTTCTTCTTTGAGCAAAAGTTAACGCACTAACAGGAGTTCTTTCATTGATATTGGCTTGCATTGTCTCCATTAGGGCGATATTTGTCATGTGTGTCATAGATTAACCACTCCTTCCCCAAGCGCTATGTAAGATATTTGGATACGACAAATAAAGATTATTATTATAAAGAACTACGAAAGTCGAGTTCAAAAAGATCGAGTTCGAAAAGAAATACTAACTCATCGATTCTTGATTGACAGCTTCGTCAAAAAGAGGTAGCAATATTTCACGCTTATTTATAATGCCTATGAAAAAAACATGTCAATGTCTAAAGTTTATATGAACTCCAAAGTTTCTAAAGTGTGTATAACCGGATGGTATTTACGTTGACGTTTTCCTTGCCTCGTTGATAATAGTTTCGATTAATAATTATTCTCCTTCGTGCAAAAGTTAGTATACTGGCAGGAGTTGTTTCATTGATATTTTCTTGTGTTGTCTCAATTAGAGAGATATCTGTCATGTTTGACATTGATTGACTACGTCCTTCATCAAACGCAATTTTTCTTTTTTTTTCATCATCGCTTTTTGTTCTGCATAATAAAGTCTATTATATTAAATTTTATTTTTAAACATATATTGAGTAAGTACATCAAGAATTAAAATGTATTCTTATTATATATTCCACATACCTTTTGTTATATCTAAATTAACTTAAGGAACATCAACATTTGCTTTTCCTTCATCGACAATCCTCATTGTGCACCTTAACTACATAGAATAAATAAATATTGTCGCATGTCACTTATTTACAAAACATTCAAAAAACATTAACAGAAACCAAATCAATGTTGAAAATTCATTCAACCAATATAAAATAATATAGAAGTTACACATGTTTTTATTTTCACAACAATCATAAATAAAACCCAAGTCCTAACCAACTTGGTGACATATTTTTAACTCAGCATAAGTCTTATGTTGTGGGTTTCCAACATATCTAGATCGACCACAATTTTAGTTAAAGTCGTAGAACACAAAATATTCACTGAAAATATTAGAAATCCATGTTCAAAATATTCAAAAAACATTCATTGAATATAAATCAATGTTCAAAATATCATTCAACTAATATAAAACAACATAAAAGTTACATAAGTTTTTATCTCCAAAACAATCACAAAAAACATCCAACCCTAACCAACTTGGTGACAAATTTTTAACTCAGCATAAGTTTTATGTTGTGGGCTTCCGGCATATCTGGATTGATCACAATTTTGGTTAAAGCCGTAGAACTCAAATATTCACTAAAAATATTAGAAAATATAAATAGTAGAATTAATATAATATTTAAAATAGAATGAAAACATAAATTATTAAATAATATATAACATACTTGAATTTAAATGAATAAGTTTAACCCGAGATGCATAAAATATAGAATTATTTTTTATGGCTCAAGCGATCCGCACAATACGTGTATGTTGAGCATCATACAAACTCAACTTTATCATGTGCCCCCTATCAAAAATAGTAAACTTAGTAAAACAATTTAAACAATTTGTTAATTTGGTAAATATTTAATTTTTATACAAAATGCAAACTTACATTCCATCTTGTAAAAATAAATCACACGAACCCAATCGAAGGACACGATCGTCCCGCACATACTTAACTCGTCCTTCCATTATGATTTTCCCAACAACATCTAACAGAAGATATTTAAATCTAAATATTAAATATTGATTTGATTTGAGAAATATATATAAATTTAATAGAAGATTTTAATCTAACAATCATCATTTTTCTTGTAGTCCTATCTTCAACAAGAGTTTCTATCGAAGGCACCAATGGATATAACACAAACGCTCTTTCAATATCACTAGTTAGTGTGATTAACTTGGTACTTTTACTGATGATTATGATCCATTCGCCACGAACAAAACTATATTTTTTATACATTGGGTACTCATGACAAGTCCCTTCAATTTGAAAATGTTTCAAAGAAAAAACACCTCCCACCAAATTTCTTTGTTTGTAGAAATTCAGTAAACCACATGAAACAATTACTGCCATTTTATTCCTCTAATGTATAAAATATGTAATATTATATTTGTTAGTATATTATAAAGAGTAATTTCATGATAACAAAACTAAAATATGAATACTTTAACTTATATTTTGGTCAAGAAAGATAAGATATAGTTCTTTTTCTTTCACATCTTCCCAAACAAGTTCTACACGAATAGTGGAAAAATTCCACCAGACATGAGCTTGTTGTAATGATGAAAATACTTCGGCATAAGAATATGAATCCATTTTCTACAAATTAAAGATAGAATATGAAACACATATATTAAAAAAATATTCATTCTTTTGAAAAAATAATGAACAGGACGAATAATTTTGTTCTATACACATAATATTTTATTTGAAAAAATAATCCATTTATTTAATTTTCCTCTAAGGTAGCCCAAGTAATCCTAAGCCTACTCTATCTAGCTCAAAGAAAATGATGTGGTCAGACAATCCATTCTTGGCCCAAAACCAAGATGAAATATATATATATATATATATATATATATATATATAGAGGGATGTTATTCTACACCGTTTGCCATTCATACACCCTATACAACCCTCATCTCAACCATTCAATTTTTAATCAATTAATTGTTTCATAATATAAAGTATTAATCATAATTAATAAACTCTATTCATATTCCATAAATATTCAAATCATAATAAATGAACTCCAATCATTTCTATAAAAATCTCAATTAATTGGGTTGCAAAGGTTGTACAAATGCACAAGGTTGTAAATGAAATATACCATATATATATATATATATATATATATATATATATATATATAATTAGTCTGTGGTAACCGTGAGGTCCAATATCAACCACAAATCAATAGATAAATTAGAAAATTTATAATTTTGGTAATTTTGAATTTATGCAAGGACATTTTAGGTATTTTAAAACTCTCCTCTCTTCTCTCTCCGTCCTCCAGTCACCGTCCTCCGGTGATACTACAATGGTATCACAATGCATCATATATGTGTTTGAGTATCACACTGAGGTTGTTTGTGTGGTCGATCGGAGATGTAACATAGTGGTACCCCCATTGGTACTACATTGGGTATCACAGTGCATCTTGTATGTATTTTGGGTATCACAACATGGATGATCGGTATGTATTCCTTAAAATTAAATTATGGACTTGATTTTGTTTTTAATTTTTGGGTTGGTATCATAGTTGGTATCATAGTGATACCACAATGAGTATCACATT